CAAATTTTATGGTAGCTACAAACGTTGCAAGTACAACGAATATTACCATAGATCCTTCTTTGAACGATATCATAATTAAGAGGATAAGTCGGTTATTACGATAAGCCTTTATCTAATAGATTGTGTCAAAAATCATCTAGATCTTGTCAATGTAAGACAATGAACTAAATAAAAAATGCTTGAAATGAGCTACTCTGAAAAAGAAATTGTTAAAAGCTAGATCTAAAAATTCACTCCTATGCCTCAGTGCTTTTAATAATTGAATTATGCTCACCTTCGATTTTAAGAACAAGATGAGTAAGGTGAGACAATTGTAACAACGAGCAATTTATGGTACGCATGTCATCACAACGAATATTGAGAGATTGAAGCTGAGGTGCACTTCCGCAAATATATCTGAAGGCGTCAAGAGAGGATGCTGGTGTGTTGATATTGAGAAAACAAATCTGATGTCTGAATTCTAATGAATTGCTTTCATTAATTTTTAAATATCGTAATTGAGACGGTATTTCAATGGAAACCAGGGGTTCGATATCGCAATTGACCAACGAAAGTCGAAAATGTCGGTTTAGTTTATGTATTTTGTCAAAAATGATCATCAAAGATTTTGTTTCAATTTTGTGTAATGTCAATGATCGAAGTCGAACGAATGCTTCAATTTGAAAATGAGACAAGAAAAGTTCAGATTGATGTGGTGTATCATCAGCATCGGAGAGTATCAACGAAACAATTTTATCGGGTCGTATTCTGCGACAAACTCTGTCAAAATGAAGTTTTAGAACTGATTGAAAGTTAACGTGATAACTTGAATACGAAACTAAAATGTCATCGAGATAGGAGCTAACATTGGAAAATATTGTGAGAATATCATGTGCCCAAAAGTACTTGAATATAATATGGAATAACTCAGCCGGTAGGATATCAAGAAGAAAGCAATGCATTGGAAATTATCTGACAAAAGAAAGATGAATAGTAAACCACCTTCCATAATAGAAGACCTCCTCCCCCTCCCGCCCTTAATTAATTATTTTTTTGGAAAACTAAGAACTTTAATTAGTGTATTTACGTCAAAATATGCCTAGTTTTGCGGGTTTTGAGCTGCAAATCTCAAAATAGTGAGCTCAATACTGTGTATTAGCTTTAAAAATCGAAAAACTTCATTCTGAAATCTTCAAAATCGCTTTGGTTTTCTAAGAAACGCTTTTAATTAACATTTATTAAAATGCAAGAGACATAATAGAAGATTCGGGTCTTTTATTGTAGCGGGAGGTTAGTCGAAAATAAGATTCTTAATAATATGTAAATGTTCGTACATTTGCACGATTTACGTTTCATAGCTGGTTGCCAAGATATGGACGCCGATGAAAAAAGTATAGAAAAGAAAGAGCATTTGTAATTTAATAAACAGAGAGGGGAGTCGCTTTTTATTAAATAATAATTTTTTAAATTTCCTATTCATTTCAAAACTATCTTCAGAGAGTTGTTTTTTCTCTTGACATGAGTTTTCGAATATTGAATGTGGATATAGAATTTTATTAAGTAGGGATTCGATCCAACTGGACCAAGACATTGGTGCACGATATGCATGTTATTCATCTGTCGAAGAAGTATACCAAACTGTTAAGCGCTGATCGAAGTGATAGGTTGTCCATAAGTAGAACTCAATGAGACTAGGAAAATCCTGAAAGAATTCACCTCCATAGCCTTTTCTTTTGAACTCAGAATCGCTTTGCTGAATTTCCGGCTGATGATAACGCATTCACAGAAAAATCAAAAAGAAGCAATTTTCGTCTGAAATTTTGCCCATAAATATGTCTTACGAGCTTTAAAACACCCGATAAGTTTCAGTGAACATGAATGGTTCCTTCTCGAAATATTGACGGTGTGGTTGTGGGGTATGCAACAATTTGATACTAGTAAGCACTCCACACTGGAAATGATCATAAGTGAATTAAAAATTTCTAGAGTGTGGGGTATGGGTGTCAGTCTTCAATTCATTCACACAAACACCCACACCCACACCACACACCCCGTGTCAACTAGGCTTTACCAAAACTCTTCCACCGTCAAAACCATTAATATTAAGAACTTTCATAGTAAAATCAGTCTACTGTGTGGCATAGAAATAGAAGATTCTCGGAAAAACACTTTAATATAGTGTCAATCACAATTTTGTTTAAGACTATGTCTAAATTGTACGAAATGAGTATGACCATCATATTGAAATTTTTATTAAGCGGTGAATAAATCCTGACGGATAGAATGGAGAAGAAGGAGATAAAAGACAGACATTTAAAAACGTGACCTATGATATTTACATTGACACCATTCTTTTCTTGTTTGAACGACGATAAAATTATGGCAAACAACATTTTTTCACTACAAAGATATTTGAAGTTACAGAGAGAGTATTGCTTTATGAGAAAAAATTGTTATTCAAGTGGAAAAACTATAATTACACACAGAAATATTTCACAAGAGATAAGTGTCTAAGAAAATATTAAGAAAAACTACATAGTTCGTCGAGAAGAATGCTATAGCCAAATAGAACACACAATACCATTAGTTTCTTGCTAAAATTGATACTAGATGGCATGACGCAAAAAAACACAGTGCTACAATGATCACTAAAAGAATTGGTTTATTCAAAAGAAAATAAAAGAAACTAAGGGTAATATTGTTTATGCATTAGTATATTTCAATGTATACTATTAGAATGAATGATTTGATGAAAGATAAATTAATCCTTCTCGAGATTGGCATGTTAGAAAGATTAACAATCTAACGAGAGAACGCGTTTTCAACTGATTAATCACTCTTTCATCGAAACTTAATGGATGAAAGATTATCGATCATGCTGATTTAGAAATTAAACATAAAAAATCCTCTTTGGTCTTCATATGCTGGTTTGCTAGAAAATAATTTTGATGTCTTCATATTATAGAGCATAATGAATTGTCTAGAAAACAGTAAATGTTTCTGTTTCAAATTGTCATTTTTTTCAGGGACCTTTCAGTGGCAAAGTAGCGACCATATTCCTTTCTGATTTACTGAATGCAAAGGGCATTGTTCAGCGAGTATAAATGAAGAGAAAGCAAGGGTGTGGGTATTCGTTTTTTCCGCTCCCAGCCCATCCCCACCCTTTTTTATAACATGTGGTAGTCTATCGTGTTTCTTCTCTCTTGCAGTCTCTAATAGATATATGATTGTGGTGTAACCATATACCAAAAAGACAAAAGTATTTAGGCGTCATATTTCGAACAAACTTTTCATTTTCTACAATACAAAACAAATTAATCATTCAAGTTGAAATGAGATACGCATGATGTCTTCTTCAATGCTGACAACGTCTGCATGTCGAGAGGAGAGTGATTGGCGAAGGATGTCAGCTGCTTTTTGAAAATATTTCAATGCTTGACTCATTTCGCCCTTATCTTCGTGTAATAGAGCTATGCTTCTGTAGCTCTTGGCAAACTCTGGGTGATTAGAAGGAAGTGACTTCAATTTGATACTAAGTGATAGATTGGAATGCTTCAAGGCCAGATCCCACTGACCAAGAAAACGATGAATGCCACCAATGTTATTATGAGACAGATCTATGTCAGGATGATTGAGAGGTAAATGTTGTTCTCGAATAGCCAATACCTTCTTATTGAAGCTCAAGGCCTCTATGTATTTCTCTTGTTTTCGGTAGACAATAGCAATGTTATTGTAAAAGTGAGCCATCTGTAGATGATTTATAACTTCGTCTTGTTCAAGGAGTTTAATTTCCTTATTGTACCAAGAAAGTGCGATATTGAGTTGATTTTTCATCTGATGAATGGTTCCGATGACATTGTAGCGCATACTGATAGTTCGATAAGCCTGTGGAGATGATTGTGTTATCAGCTCTAAACCGAGTGAATAACACAAAGCGATAAGTGAAGGATCATCGGAAGGAAGTTCGTTGAGCAATCGACGATAAAACTTCTCGGCTAAATCAGGTTTACCCATTCGACGTAGTACTCGACCAAAGCTAAGAAAAGTAGTTTCATCATCACCACCCCCATATTATTCCTTCATATATTCAAACAAACTTGTCAAATCATGCTCATCATCACCCCACAACGTCAGTCGAATTATCCAAACTCGATCATTGTTTTGACGAACATCCTTGAGACAGAAAATGGAACCAACCATAAAGAGAACTTCTGATTCATGACTAAAGTCAATGTATGAACTTATGTCAGCAAATGGTTTTTGTTGCCCCTATGCGAGCATCAGCATCGATTTTAAATAATACTCGATGTAAATCATCCGAAATATCAGAATTCATCAAGAATCCCAACGCTTGTTGACGGGCTGGTAGTAGTCGAGAAAAACGAATTAATAGAAATCAATTCACTGATCGACTTTTGAAGATTTTCCAGTTCATCATTTGATAGGATTTGAGTCCGATATACGCATATTGGTGATTGACATTGATGCTGTTCCGATTCTCGATAAATATCACGTATGAAGAAACGAAAAAGAAATAATATATCGATGTTTTGTACTCGTAAAGCTTTGTTCAGCATTTTATACAAAAATGACTCACGAGTATACCACCACAGAGCATTTTTCAGTGAATACTCTGTTTGAAATTCACGAAGAATATCTAGCTGAGTCTTGTTGCCTTTGAATACATTTTTGCAGAGTTCAATGAGTGCTTGTTTGTCTTTTTTAACAGACTTCATTCGAAGAAGAACATCGATGAGTAATAAAGAATGTATAAAACTATCACTCAGCCCAGTTGTCGATTGATCTGGATTCTGATTGATCGTAAAAATATTTAATAACGATCGGATCTTCCTCCTTCCCTCGTTTTTTCTGATCTGTTTTGATTCGAAATATGAGATCATCAAGTTCAACAGTGAAGCCTTTATCCTCGAACAATACAAACAAAAATAAATAATTGAGGAGAATAATGCAGAAAATGTGATACCTTTGCGAAGTTTTTTGCCTATTTTTCATTTTTCTGTTTATCCATACAATAAACATAGATAGATGATAGTTGTCGAATATGATGAATACGAGATACTACTTTCTTGATCTAATCTTCCACTAACAGTAAGGACAAGTCGATTCTGCATGGAGATAGATCGAATGTATTGCTCGCATAGATTTTCATGTTCAAATGTCGTTACATGATTGATGATGGGACGAATTTGTTGTTGTGCTTCTTGATTTGCTTCACTAGTATGGACTGCGGCATCTAGCCAGAGAAGAGAAATTGTTTCAAGATTATCGTCATATGTATTATTATTATCATGGTATGCAGCAGCTGTAGCCATTTTTTTTTGCTATCTCACAAGCTACACTTTTTATGACTAAATTTGGATTGTTTCTTCGTTGATTCTCTTGGCTTATCTTTGCAGAAAAAAAAATGAAATACTTTACTTTTTCATTTTTTTTCACATTGTTTGTTTTTGGGATGACTTCGTTACAATCTTATGATGAAGAACGAAACTGAATACGCAGAACAGACCAAATTTCCTTTTTCGCTGACAGCTACAATCTCTTTTGCCTTCTTGACTACTACAAAAATCTCGTTTAATATATAACCTAAAAAATATTGTTCTTCCGAGTTACTTGAAAACATTGTGTTTTTACATGTTAGAAAAATTCGAAAAAAAAGTCGTGACAGATTTTTATGATTATTTCAACTCTTTACTCTTGTTACTTAAAATCTTGAAAAAATCATAGAAATCCACGCGATGCACTAATTATTAGATTGATGCTGTCATGTGAAAGTTTGGAAAGAATTTTCTTCGAACGTGTCACTTTTTTTCTATTTCAAGCTGTGAAGGGTGTGGGTGTGGGGTATCATTTTGTCCACACAACACAAACCCACACCTTTCTTTCGACTGTTTGTGCAGATTTTAATTTGTATTCATGCATGTTACGGCGAGAAACTGACACAATTCGCACATATTTTCTTTACGTGTATTAGACTTTTTTCAATAAAAGAATCCAAGATTAGTCGTTGCTAAATAACTTATTCTTGTATTCTTGATAATATTAAAAAAATCAACTAAATCTTAATTTTCAGAAGTTGGACAAATGGCTTTTATCCACAGCAACAAAAAGAGTAATTGCAGTAGTTTCTGATCATTTCATTTAAACCAGTGCGTTCGACATAGGCTTGGTATCAATAAGAGAAAGACTCATATTAATCACTACTAAAGCACAATATAGTCTTTCAAATCGAACTATTTCAAATTCTTTCATTAGAAATTCATTTCCTTTTTTCTTTACGTATATTCAAGAAATTTCATACAATTTTTGTCGACTGTTCCATAGTAAATTTTCAACATTCAATGTATTCATTGCATAGAAATAAATTAATTCGATTTACAATTTTTTTATTATAAAAAACAAGAAAAGAAACTTATACACCATTAGTATGAACACCTTCAACTTGTTCAAGATCTTCAAACATATTTATAATTTGTTTTAATAGGACTTTATCACGTTCATTTAATGGTACAGTTACTTTAGGAATAAATTCTGAACCATCAGATGTTACGGTATAGCCACGTTGAGTTAAATTAACTTTCATTTGACCATAAAATGTTGGTGGACCAAGAAACTATTCAGATTACAAAAAAAAATTTTTTTTTTTTAATTTGAGTTTTTAAATAAAACATCAACATACTTTCCATACTTCTCGTTCACCATCATCATCAATTGCTTGAATAACTTCTTCAGCGTTAATTTCAATCGCTAATTCAGTGGCTTTTTCTTCATCAATATTTGATTTTTCAATACATGCATAACCACGTTGATCAAAATATTCAGCAATTTGTCCACTTTTAGCTATTTCAGGAATACTTTAATATAATCAAAAACAAAATAATAATGTTGAAAATTAAATGAATAAAATATACCCAATTTTAGCTGCATTTTTATTTAAATAATTAAATGTACGTTTTGGATTATCAGTTATAACTTCAATAAGACAAAGAGCTCGACCAGGACCAATAAATTCAAAAATAACTTGTTTCATATTATCTTTTTGAGCAATCTATATATTTAATGAATTCAATTAATTCATGAAAACAAAATTTAAACTTACAGCTCGTTTAATTGCTCGATCAATTGTTTCTTTTGGCATATTATTTTTACGACATTCTTCTAATGTTGCACGTAATACAGCGTTATATTGTGGATCAGTAACATTACCATTCTCTTAAATATAATCAATTTTATTATTGAAAAATTTTATAGAAAACTCCTATTTGTAATATTTATTTCGAATGTTAAATTATGCTTTCTACTAAATTTTAATGACATTTTTCAAAAGAAAAAAAAAAGTTCTTTTTTTTATTGATGTGGCAAAACTTATGTTAAACTTCCATTTTAATTTTCATTGAGTTTTAAATAAGTAACAGATGTAAATTGAAATTTATTAGAATAAACCTGATAAGATTAATTCTAGTGCGATCCGAAATCGACTGAGTTCAGTAAGGATATAAGATTTTCTTCTAGTCTCCTAAACATATTTATCATTTTCGAGCAAGATATTCAACAAATAAAACTTTAAAATAGCTCATTTGGCCATCTGAAATCCTCCACTAGAACTCATTCTATAGATTTAACCTTTTTTTTTTCATTTGAAAGAGCATATCAAAGTGCAGCACTCTGTTTTTTCTAAATTCTTACTTTTTATGCAAACAAAACAGAAATCATCAAAAATTACAGCAAAGGCCGGATTTCATGAGTTCTAAACTTTTAGAATCCTTAAAAGTGGATAGGTTTTGCTTCTCTCTACATTCATATTCACACCAGGAAGAGAATGTAGCGTATATTTATCATCTCTGTTAGCATTTCTGGATCTAAGACACCATTGCAGTTGTTTTAAAATTTATGTAAGTTCTTTGAGTGAAGTTACACTTTCGATTGTTCTAAGAGTTCAGAACTCCCGAAATCCAAATATATCTCTTTGTTGTCTAACATTTCAATACTTACGTCGAATGGATGTTACAATTTTACTAGATAATTTGCCGATAACACGTGATTTTATTTGATCATTAGCACTTTTAGTCTTTGCAATATTTTGCCAATGAGCATGTCCAGCATGTCGTCGAGTATTATCTATACATATATATACATAAATGCAATGAAATTCATTTGTATATGTTCATGAAAATCATGTCATTGGTTCTTTTTTACATACAGTAGATTGATTCTACTGGCAGTAAAGATCTAGCTGTTATACAAGTTAATCTTGACGTTAATGAACAATATCGAACTAAGTTTGATATACTCATTTGAACGAAATATCTGAAAGAATGAATAAATAATCCTGCATATATTTCGGGGACAAAAAGAGCTTTTAAACACATTAAATTTTGGTTAGACTACACGCCATAATAACAACAAACAACAGTAGCGAACACCAGAGGAAAATTGAGGTATAACTAGTGGCTTTTAAGAAAGAATACAGATCATACAAAAGATTTTGTGGGCGTGTAGCCGGTGAGAAAAAGAAGAAACTATGTATGATAATAAATAAATCAGATACAATGTGTTCAATTTTCTTGCTGTTTTAATGGAATGAAAAAAGAAAAATAATATCAAACACAGACAAAAACGTATGCGCAATCAAAGATCATATATATAGCGAGAGAGAGAGAGAAATAGAATATAAGAAAGTTAAAGTCATTATGATCATTAATATAGAAATTTTGTTTTTTTTGTTTTTTTGTTTAAATTTAGAAATCATCAATTATTTTCCACTTGTTTGTTGTTGTTTTAATTGAAGTAAAACACTTCTATAACGTGTTAAATCTTTTTGTGAACGATTATTTTTTGGATTAAATTCGCATAAACTTGTTATTTTATCCCAATCATTAACTTTACCATTTGATGTATTACGATTATTGAAAATATCATCTTCTAATGTATGATTATTTGAACGATTTTGTCCTTTTGTACGTTCTAATTGTTCAGTACGTTGTTTATAAAAATCATCTAATTCTTTTTTAGCTTGTTCATGCATTTCGTTACGTTTAATTTCTTCTTCTGTATCTTTTTTTGTAATACGTGCTGAAAATTCTTCTCTCCATTTTCGTATTTTTTCCGGTTCATTCATTTGTTCATTGAAATCCGATATTGCTTGATACGGTGAATCACGCGATGGTGTTGGAGAATAACTTCCACCCATATTTACCATCGGTGAATTCGTGCCTAAATTATTATTTCATTGAGAATAGAAAAATAAAAGGATAATAATAACTATTATTACCACCGTTTGTAAGAAGATTATTAGTGTTTGATCTTGTATCAAATGAATTATTAAATAAATTAGCATCAGTATCGCCTGTTATTTCAGCTAATTCACGTTTTTCACGTTCGAGAAATTCAGCAGCTGGATCTTCGTCATTAAAATTATAAAAATTATTTGATGTATCATCATTGAAATTAGTAACGCCTGTATTAAATGGATCGTCAAAAGCCATAATATGTTATGGAGAAAGGAACAATCTTTAAAAAAAGAAAAATAATAAGAAAATGAATGATTAATTGAGATTTATAGTTTCTCAATGATGCTCAGTACATTTTTGTTTTCTTCTTTATATTATTTATTTATTTTGTTTATTTGCTGATATTCTCGATCAATCGATATGAAATAAAACAAAACAACCAATCAAATAAAAATCTATATCAGATGTCACTAGATATTAGATGCTTATTATTTTTGTTTAAGATAATTTTCTTATGAGTTATACAACCATAGTCTAAAAGAAAATGAAATCATAGTGATAATTGAATTACATAGAATTTGAGAAACATTTTCAAAATAATAATTGATTAAATTATAATAATAAAATTGTTGTAATCGTTAGTAATTCGATTTTTTTTTTATTCTTATCTTTTAAAGGATGTTTATGATTTTGATATAAATTATTATTTTCTTTTTTGACAATGATTTATTCATTAAAATTAAAATGTAAAGTTATTTTGAAGTATAAAACTCAAAATTACTATCGAGCATAAAACCATTTGATTTGTTGATATCCAATAATCTCTCTTCAAGATCAAATTTCAAAACAATCACGATTGATAATATTAAAAAACTACAATGAATCATTTTTTTTTCTATCGAATGATAAAAATACTTGAATTATTTATCGTAAACTATAAAACTAACAAAATTAATCTTTCATAGCATTGATTAAGGTTAGATAATGTTGATGTATAAATTTATAAGAACGAAATATTAAAAGTATTTCTTAAATTGAATATTTTGCAAAGTAAACTTTTTGAATTTGTTGCTGAAGGTGATACTGCACGAACAACTATGATTTGTTTTACTTTATTCAAATTTACTTTGTATATTTAATACTATTCTATGAATTTGATTCTCGGCGAATTTGTATAAATATTTTTCAAAGTTTTCTATGGTTTTAATTGAATAACTATATCAATATCATTTCATGACTGTACTAATTCAAAAAAAATAAATTTATTTTCCATTTAAATATAATTTAAGCTGAAATAACAATTCTAATAATTGAAAGCTGGAATAATAAAATTAACCGATAAAAAGAAAAAATTAATATTTATATGTGTCTATTGCTTGTCTTGTTGTTTTGTTGATTTATCTTCACCAATTAAATATTTATTTGGATCATCAGGTTTATTTTCCAGACCTTTATAAAATTTCTTTTCAGCATCAGGATCTGCTTCACATCCTTTAAAATAATTTTCTTCACCAACAAAACATATCTAAATCAAACAAAAATAAAAAAAAACATTGTTCTTTTTTAATTCAATAGAATATTCAAAAGATCGTTACACCTAACAATTGTGAAGTCTTATCTAAGAAAAATTATTGATCAAAAAGGATTCAACCAACTGAACATTATAATTAGGGATGTGTAAATCAGTTATTGATTTCATATTGAAAGTGAAATCTGATAAGTCTTTGAAGTATCATAAAGTTTTACTTTACATCTTAATCTTCATTATTATCTTAACTTTCGAGTACTGTATCCCGTTTTGATAACAACATATTTTTACCAAAATAAAAGAACGTCTCTTGAAAACCTTTTTTCTTTTTATCATCGAAATGTCATAAAAAAAAAACAAGTGGATTTAATAATATCTTTTGTTATTTTCTTTGAATTTACATAAAAGATTACGAAATTTATGATTCTTTTAAAATCTGAAGTTATTTGCATAAATCTTACTTCATGTTCATCAGGATCTGAAAGAATAACAATTTTTTCTTTATTAAAACCTAAGAATCCACCTAATTCCATAGCTGGTATAAGTATATCATGTCCTTCTTTTTCTATTATATTTTCTATTACTTCAACATCATTTTTTGGACATGAAAAAGCTTTTCTACCATAACCCGTACCACGATCAATAGAATGTTTAACTTCAATTAATTCAAGTTGACATTGATTATCAACAAGAAAACCAGATTTTGTTTTAACTTTTGATTGTTGAGTTGTTTTTAAACCATAATAAAGTTTAACATGATTATCATTTGATTCTTTTTCATTGATTTTCATTTTTAATAAACGTGTATAATAATCAATAGATGTTTTTAAATTTGATACATTTAATGATAAACATCGAACAGGATCATCACCTGGTTGAACATCTTTATCAATTAATATAAAACGATGACCATCAGGTGAACGTATTGTAATTGATTGTTTATTATCTATTTCAATAAATTTCTTATCAAGATATTGACGTGCATTTGAAACAGCTTGTCGATTATATATTGTAACTGATGAAAAATCATTACCATATTCATAACCTTGAACATCATAATTATAATTTAATTCCAAAGCAAAAAATGAATTTTCATTTCCATAACCAGCCATTGTTTTTGACCATGGAGAATCAAAATCTCCATTACATCGTGCTGAACAACCACTATCCATTTCTTCATGACGTAGAATTTTCATACCTAAGATGTTACAAAAAAATTTTTTTGTTGCTAAACGATCAGTTATCTTCATTGTAAAATGAAGAAAACGTCGATCATCAGATGTGGATTCTTGAAGAGAAGTTTCACTAGACATTAGTAGATTTTATTTTCTTTTTTAAATATAAAATGATGATTGCTTTTTTGTTTTGTTTTAGAAAATGTGATAAGAGAATAACACGTGAAAGTGTGATATTACGAGATGAATTTATGGTTGGTTAAAAGAAGAACTAATCAGTTGGCAGGAACCTTGAAAGCATTATTGAAATTTTAATTTTATAGAGCAAAATAAGAGAGTGTTTATTTTGAATTTTAAACGATGTTATTTGTTTACCTTGCCTAAAGCATATATGTAGCAAACAAATAGTTAAATTTAAAAAGTTAGATAAAAATGCAATTTTTTATATTGATCCATTCTAAACGATTGAAACAATATTCTTTCAAATATGACGATAAAATTGCATAATTACAACTATTTATAAAGTAATCAAAAGTTTAATATGCTTTAACATATTTTTCAACCTATGCAGTACGAACAAACAGAAGGTAAAAATATTGTCGTTTTCCTTCATTTTTATGAAAAAAAGTTCTATTTTTATTCTTGTTTCTATGTAAGAATCCGTAGTCAAGATCTTTCTGTTTAAACTATATTGACTACGATGAATCGCCTTGTTTTCTCTTTCTTATAGAATATTGCGTTCGTCTTATCTCTCCTGATGTGAAAAGTCACATAACCATTGTACTGTATGAAAACTATGGCGATGCTTGTTTTGATTTGAAAGTTATGTAAACGAATAAAAGAGATTATTTTGAAGCGTTTTTATCAAAAATGACGAAACTAATCTAGTATTTTTAATGCAGAAAGATATATTCTAGAATGATGTAGATAGTAGATATTTTCTAAATTTGCAGTGTCATTCGATTCGAAACAATGTATCATTACCAAATAAAATATTCTGTCGAGATAGAAAAAAAGTTTAATTGATTGATTACGGTCACTTTCTAGCAGAGCATTGATGTTTCAAATGTAGCTATGAGAATTTTTGAATTTTTTTTTATTTCCAAGAGGAAAAAAATGTCTTCTATTAAAATCTTTGTCTCATTAAAAATTGAATGAACACTCAATTTTTTTCTAAGGGAGGACCCCCCCCCCCCCCTCAGGAATCGCTTTTCGTTATTCGTGGACTGATTTGGCTGAAATTTTCAGGCAATATGTGTGTTGCGTTAACTAAATTTCTTGCAAATTTTTGACTCATAAAATTCTTATTTTAATGAGTTATTGACAAATTAGCCCTGAAAATGGTGGTTCTCGTAAGGTACCGATTTCTCGGACTGTCGAAGAGGTAGAGAGCTACCTTTTGTTTTAAATAAAAGAGAAGACCTGAATCTACTTAGAAATGTATATAGCGTTTTTTTCGAAATTCGATTTTATTCGGATTTCCGAGGCATTTTCCTGCAATAACTCGGAATTTAGCGCTTTTTGACATCAGTGTTATCCAGTTATCTCGGCAAAGAAATCGAGTTTCGAAAAAAACGCTATATACATTTCTAGACATAGGTCTCTCCTTTTATTTAAAAAAAACAGTAGTTCGCTAGCTCTTCTACAGTCTAAGAAATCGGTTCCGAGCTCTCCAAAAAAGTGATTTAGAGAAAACCACTCAACAAGTTTGTATGAAACAATTATTAATTCCACTATGACTGTCACGACCTCTATACGGCAATTTCATCATGTATACAGGATTTTAAGCAGAAATGACTACGTTCCTCTAATTAATTAATGTAACAGAACGTATATGTGTTTTTCTTTAACCAAAATCTACAAGTTTGTTGACCACTGTTACATCTCCCTAACTAAAAAAATTTCTGATAAAACCTTATATTTCTACCAGTGCTCCCAGAAAACCGCTATTTTCACCACTCAAAACCTTTCAAAATGCAACAAATCATACATAATCTGAAAGGGGACACTTTGGGCTTTCAGTGTATGTGCTTATCTAAAAATCGATTTTTCTGAAAAAAAAATCGATTTTCTGAGGGGGAGTCCCCCCTTAAAAGTCATCTATATATAGATCTTTTATATATAATATTATTCTTGAGAAGTAAAACTAATTCCTTATTTCAAGCATAAAGTATAGATAGATGAAACGAAGATTTATTTTCGAAAGCCTTAAGTGTAATAACATAGTTTATATTATTATGTATAAGAAGGATACATAAGTATTGGTGTATAAAAAAATTGTTGTTGAACATCTTCTCTTTGTGTATATGCTGTTATTGTTTTTGTAACTGGTGGATGATTAACAACAAGAAATGGTGTTGTTAATTGTGCTGGAGTTTGTATAAACATATTCATTTGTTGTTGTTGTTGTTGTTGATTAGGTATCCAATGTTGATAAGTTTGTTGTTCTATTGATTTTAATTGTTGTTGTGTTATCCATGCAAATTGATCAAATATTGATGATTGTTGATATTGTATATTATTAGAAGCATTTTGATGTTCACTATAAACTGTATTAGGTAAATGAGATGATGATGATGATGTTGAATAAAAATCAACAGAATGATAACATTGTCGATCGATAGTTAAATCACCTGGTTGAAATTCTGAAACTATCGGAGCTTCAATTATACGTTCATAAATAACTTCTCGTGGTGGTGGTGGTTTGTACGGTAACCATTTTTCGATAATAATTGATTGAGGTTTTGGTGGTAACTAGAAGTGAGATGATAAAATTTAAAATGAAAAAGTTCTTAGAGCAATTCTATTCTTATGCGATATTCTTTCTAGATTATTGGAGTTTTACTAAATTTTCTTTTATCCCAGATAAGGTTATGTGTGAAAAAGAGAAGTACGGAATTTTTCCCTACACTTCAACGATTTTTTTAGATCGAGTTTCACAAAATAGAAATTATATATACCGGAGGCTTATGTTCGAAGATAATATATGGTGATGATAGAGGTTCTTGTGGTAGAATTTTAGTTATAATTTTAGGTTCTTCATGAGGTGGTGGTGTTGGTGGAGCTTCGCGGAAAATACGTGGAGATGGAGTAATAGGTTGTGTATCTTCATGATTAATAATTAATGGTGGAGGTGATGGTGGATGTGGAGGAATAATTTCTAAAAGTTTGAAATAGATTAATGATGTTTTATATTTTAAATGAAAAAAAAAATGTATACCTCGAATAATTAATGGTCCAGATGGAGGAGGTGTTGGTGGAACAAGATAACGAACAGAAACCTTTTGTTTATAAGTTACATTATCTGGATTTGGTTTATGAATAATTTTTGGATTTTGATCATGATTTATTTCTGGATGATTATGAATAAATTCTTCATATTCATTATCATTTAGGGTTTGTTGAGATGAAAAAGATGATAATGACCGATGAGCCATAGTTGAAGATATTTGTTTAGTTGGATAATATTCACGAATAGTAATTTTTTGTTTACATTCTGCATTTTCAGTTATTTTTAACGGTGATGATAATAGAACTTGATCAGAAGAAGAATTCAATTCATTCATTGATGAACTTCGACTTAATATTGAATTTGATGTATCAAAATCATCATTATCATCAATACCATACATTTGTTCAATTTGAGTTTTTAAAAATTTTTCATTGATTTGTTTGGATTTTATATTTATTAAGACAGATGGATGAATAATTATATTTGATTTTTTATCATCTGATGTTTCTATTGTTTCATTCACATCAATTATTGGTTTATATTGAATCATTGATGCAGAACATTCATATTTTTCAGGATGCCATCTTGGAAAATGTTGTTTCTCGATTTGGGAACGCCATGTATTAACAGATGGTTCAAGAGTTTCATTGAGCTTTAATATTGTATTTGAAAGTTCATTGTTAGTATTATTTAGAGAAAAAAATATATATGGTGATTTAGGATTATAACCAATATCTTCAACAATTTTTGTTAAATTACATATAGATTTATTCATGATTTTTGATGAATCTTGATGATTTATATCAAGTTTTTCATTCGAATGATTATGATCAGATATAGAAAGTTCTATTTGAATACGATTAGCTCGATATGTATTATCAGTTGAATGAATAGCCTAAAGCAATAAAGAAATAATATCAAAAGTTTAATTTCAAATTTCATATATTATGAATAAGTTATGTAATAGTTTTAATTTTTATTGAGAATTAAAACTAGAGTGTCCGAAAAAGAAATCAGATCGATAAAACCTTTAAACTTATTTGATTTGAAAAAATACTATGAGATAAGACATTATTGCATCTTTCAACGTTAAAGAATGTGCTTGTCTAAATCGTTAGTTAAATTTACATTTCAACTACAAATAAATCAACAGAGACATTGACTTTCATATTACTAGTTAATCATTTGAAGTACTAAATTATATAAATGACAAGAGAAATTTCTCGACTAATAAATCACTTTTCAGTTCGGATTATGTAGACCTAACTTAGCTAAGATTTTTATAAAAAAGAGTTTGCGTCTTTAGCAAAAATATTGCATTTTTAAGGTATTGCTTTAAAATGAATGCCATAGTTACAGAAAAACTAATTTTCAAATTTTGACTTGAAATTTGGCATGAAGAGATATCTTAATGAGAATAATTTATTATGAAAGTTTTAGATGTTTTGATTTGCCTTTATCCTGAAATAAAAACATTGAACTTGTCAGTTTATATGATAGCGATATGAAACTATTCTCATGAATTGAAATTCGAAAATCAATATTTCTGTTATCACGACATTCATTTAAAAAAGTCTACATAATGCATATAATCTTGATTTAAATGTAATGTATCATTTGAAGGATCTTTCTTATTAGGCGGATTGGTTATTTATTTACTGAATATGTTCTCGTAAACCAAGAGGAACGAAGAAAAATATTTAAAAAAAAAACGAAGTTTTTCTCTATGTCCTTCGAAGACAACTCATAATTTGATTCACAAAAAAAAATTATTTGTCTAAATTTGATATCCATGCTAATTATTCGGTCGAAAATTGTTTCACTACTTCAATACAACAAATAATTGTATTCATTCAAAAATCTGTCCTAGACTCACTCTATAACTATGTAGAGCCTAGAATTTTATATGTTGCATAATAATTTATGTACATATATGAGCCATTTCAAGTAAAATAGAACATATCCACCTCTTATTTGGCTTTGATTTTTTACAAGAGTTATTTTTCTGAATAAGTTCTTTTAGCATAGACAAATGTAAAAATGTTAGTTTTTTTTTTTTTTGTTAACGATTAATTTAAAAGTAATTAGCGAATATTTCTCTGACCATATGAGGAAAAAAACCTGAAATTTTCAACAAGATTAGTTTGTCATTCGGTTATGAGAGCATTTTTTTTTGTTCGTACTCTGTCACCTCATCAATACATTTTTCTTTATTGATAAGTCTTCTGAACAAAGGTCTCTAGCAGTGATTTTTTTACCAGAACATCCTCTACATTACTTTACATACATGTAGTATATAAAAATTAAATTTAGAAAAATTCATTATCTTGAGATAAACATGTTTTAATTTTGCGAAATCATATCGTTAATGAATGACTTTGCTCATACATATATATATATGAAATTGTTTTTAAAAAAATTTAACAAGAGTCTTCCGTAAGAAATACTATTAACATACGTTATTTAATTGTTTTTCTTCATCTCCATTTTGAATCATTGTAAAATTCTTATAAAATGGTTCGCTATCAATCATATTTGCATTCATGTAGAAAAATTCATTTCTTTCTCCCAGACTTTCATCATGATGAGTTATAGTTGCCATTAAATTACGTCTTGCATGAATATGTTACGTTGATATGCAAAGCAACACATGAATGATTTTTCTTTTTTCTTTTAATTGTTAAAAAAAAAAGGCAATCAGACGTATTGTGTCCTTTATTCTTTCGTCTTTTTTTTAATAGGCAATATACCAAATAAACAGGTTGTCCTGTGTATTTAGTGATGCCTTCGAAGGTTAATTTTCTTTTTTCTTTTCTATTAATATTTAGATATGAATAAATTGAATGAATCAGTTGAAACAATAATAGAACAATATCCATCATCTATTCGTGATTTTTCATCTCAATATGGATCAAATAGTGCTCGAAGTTATGCCGTTGGAAATATATGTAAACGTCCAGAAATCTATCCTTTATATGGAGATTCTACACAGGCATTGGTTTTTCGTACATATGGTCCATGGTGGATAAATATGCCATCAGACAAAGAAATAAAAAAAAATTTTCAACGTTGGGAGAATGAATTTACTAGTCGAGATTTTATTGATATTGAATATTCAAATTTAGTTTATCCATGTACAAGTTTAAATATTTATGAAACATATAATCCAGGTTCACTTGAGGTTGTTTATGTTGGAAAAGAAAATAATAATGGAGATATTACATGGCATCGAATATGGAAATTTCCTGAGCCATTTAGTATTATTTTAAGAAATGATGAAGAAATTCTTATTGAAAATGGTAAGAATTTCTAAAACTAATATTTGCTATTTTCTTTTTGCTATTAATTAATAATCAACGAGAGAAAAAGCACAAATTATTTTAAGAAAATTAATAAAACTTTATATTTATCTCATGATTGATAAATTTCATTCTTTTTGTGAATAATTTTGCACTTTTCTTATGACAATATATAATATCAAGTTTGAGTTAAAGTCATTCTACTAGTCTTGAGATAACACTATATGAGTGATTACATTGTGCGATACATATCCATAAGATACTCTATTCAAACCTCAGCATCATCAGCCATGGAATGACCTTAGACAAGTCATGAATAATTGTTCCTTTCTGATCATCTGTCTGATTACATTGTGATATGGACTTGTTCTTCCGGCTAGTATGCGTGTATGAAGAGCATAAATAATTGAGCAAAAAAAAAACTCTACATTAGATCGGCCTTCTATCCAGAGCTACTTGTAGAGAAGATAACGGTCACTAGATAATACCAAATAGCCTACAGGTAAGTGTAGTCTTTCTTCATGTCGAGTTAAATAAATAGATTAAAAACTTCAGTACTGCACATGCAACGAATCGAAACTCTAGTTTATGTCATGTCGAGTATTTACGTAGTGATTTAAAGCAGCTCTTGAAACATATAGGCCGATATGGAAGTATCCTTAAATTCGAGTTTAGATATTTTCGAACATTATTAACTTTTTTGTTTTTTTAAAAGTATATTGCCTTGCAGTTTTTGGATCGTTTACCTGATTTTTTGTAGATCTATCAAAGTCAACTGTGAAAGTCTTGCTTTTAGTTTACTTCTACTTTTTAGTTTTCTTAATTAACTAAAAATGATTGCATTCAAGACCGAACTCTAATGTTTCGTTTCAATAAATACCTATTTGATTATATTTGTCTGAAGGTTGTATAAGCAGACCTTCTACCAACCGAAAATAATGTATTGATGATATGAGATCAGTTTATTAAGTGACATCTAATCTGTAATAAGCATGTATCCACATCCTGTTCTCTCAAATATCCAATTTTTCCTGTATTCAGGAATAAACCATAACGAAACAAAGCAAATTCAATCATTATCATAAATTTCTAAAAATTTATGACTTAGCTTGTTTGAACAGTGATGTTGTATTTAAAGAAATTCTTATTTTTCAAACATCCGAAGTTATAAAAAGAAAAAGGTTTTCACATACAGTGAATGACCCAAATTATTCAATAAGGTTGTTTTTTTTTTCGTGGCCATAAGCGCTACAAAGAATCCAAATAGTGATTCGAATAGAAAGAATTTTTCTCAACAAGAATATAAGGAAATAAAAATTATTACCAGGTTCGCAAAGACAAAAGCTAAAAAAAATCTAAAACTTAGCTTTTCAGCATCTAAAAAGTGAAAATACAATTTCGTTTAGACTACGCAGAACGGTACAGTAAATAATTGTCTATAAAATGAGACATCTCGGATTTCTTCAGAACGTTTTTCATCTAACGAGGGAAGGTCCCCAAGTGTGAGTCTCCGTTTCGAATCGGGTATTTGTTATTTTGTAGAGCTCAATGAGTACAGTACCTGCGTATAAAGGATTTCTGCCCATGGTGAACTTTTCAGGAACAACAAGGTTCCATACCTTCTGAAAAATCACCATAAGACTCTTAACTGAAGGCTTGAATTTTAATATTGTAAGGACAAAACATAGTGTTGTTCAGGCCAATCGGTGGTTATCAATGATGCTCTTTCATATGGTCCGAATAACACCATGTTTTGTTCTTATAATAGTAAAGTGAATTTTTTTGGTG